TGATCTCCTGGATTTTTTCCCAATTTTTCTTCGGAATTATTGAATTCCGCCTTTCTCCAATTTTCGAATTTTACCTATTCCTAAGAATCCTAAGAATCCTAAGAATTCTGAGGATCCTGAATTCAAGAATACTAGAATATTTAGAAATTCAGAAATTCAGAAATTCAGAAATTCAGAAATTCAAAAATTCAGAAATTCAGAAATTCAGAAATTCAGAAATTCAGAAATTCAGAAATTCAGAAATTCAGAAATTCAGAAATTCAGAAATTCAAAAATTCAAAAATTCAGAAATTCAGAAATTCAGAAATTCAGAAATTCAGAAATTCAGAAATTCAGAAATTCAGAAATTCAGAAATTCAGAAATTCAGAAACTCTCTATCTCTCTCTCTCTCTCTCTCTCTCTCTCTCATTAATCCTCATCTATATTACAATTTCCAATGAAGAACGGGAGGAGGTCTCTTGTCTCTTTGGGGGGGGGGGGGGGTTCAAATATTTATCATTTCTGGGTCCCCCACGTCTCAAGTAGTTGAGAAATGAGTCGTAAATTATGTTTGGGTGAAAAATTAGGAATTTGGAAATTCAGAAATGCAGAAATTCAGAAATTCAGAAATTCAGAAATTCAGAAATTCAGAAATTCAGAAATTCAGAAATTCAGAAATTCAGAAGTTCAGAAATTCAGAAATTCAGAAATTCAGAAATTCAGAAATTCAGAAGTTCAGAAATTCAGAAGTTCAGAAATTCAGAAATTCAGAAATTCAGAAATTCAAAAATTCAGAAATTCAGAAATTCAGAAATTCAGAAATTCAGAAATTCAGAAATTCAGAAGTTCAAAAATTCAGAAATTCAGAAATTCAGAAATTCAGAAATTCAGAAGTTCAGAAATTCAGAAGTTCAGAAATTCAGAAATTCAGAATTTCAGAAATTCTGGAAATTCAGAAATTCAGAAATTCTGGAAATTCAGAAATTCTGGAAATTCAGAAATTCAGAAATTCAGAAATTCAGAAATTCTGGAAATTCAGAAATTCAGAAATTCAGAAATTCAGAAATTCAGAAATTCAGAAGTTCAGAAATTCAGAAATTCAGAAATTCAGAAATTCAGAAATTCAGAAATTCAGAAATTCAGAAATTCAAAAATTCAGAAATTCAGAAATTCAGAAATTCAGAAATTCAGAAGTTCAGAAATTCAGAAGTTCAGAAATTCAGAAATTCAGAATTTCAGAAATTCTGGAAATTCAGAAATTCAGAAATTCTGGAAATTCAGAAATTCAGAAATTCAGAAATTCAGAAATTCAGAAATTCTGGAAATTCAGAAATTCAGAAATTCTGGAAATTCAGAAATTCAGAAATTCAGAAATTCTGGAAATTCAGAAATTCAGAAATTTCGAAATTCAGAAATTCAGAAATTCAGAAATTCAGAATTTCAGAAATTCAGAAATTCAGAAATTCAGAATTTCAGAATTTCAGAAATTCAGAAATTCAGAAATTCAGAAATTCAGAAATTCAGAATTTCAGAAATTCTGGAAATTCAGAAATTCAGAAATTCTGGAAATTCAGAAATTCAGAAATTCAGAAATTCAGAAATTCAGAAATTCTGGAAATTCAGAAATTCAGAAATTCAGAAATTGCTGGAAATTCAGAAATTCAGAAATTCCGAAATTCAGAAATTCAGAA